TAGATAGATTGTCAATCATTCATATAAGATTTTGATTGGGGTATAAGTCCAGAATACTGACCGATGGACAGAAACTTGGTATTGGTTCCGGAGGATATGATGGACGCGGCGGTATCCAGCTCGCTTACCATCCGCGCGCCGCTTTGAGTGTCGAATCAACTCAGCCACATCTGCCAAGGTAACTAGTCCTTGATCAACATCATCTTTCCTGCGTTGTAGGCCAAGCAGCGTGCAGCGTCGCGCTAGGGTGCGCGGTGAGATATTGATGTCATGACGCTCTTCAAGTATCAAAAGGAGGTGCTCCGCGACAAAACCTTGACCGTGATAGAATTGGATGAGATTATTCTGAATTTCTTGAGTTTCATTATCAGGCCCTATTTGCAATTCCCAGTTGGAGCGGGCACGAGTGATGGTGCTCTGCGAACAGGTGATACCATGGTGAGTTGATAGATCGTCCTGTATCTGGCGGTTGGTGAGGCCTTGCTGAACCAGTGCCGCAACAATAGGCCGATAGGCTTCGGTTAGGATTAATGGATTCGGCATAGATTGTACTTGATGATGAAGAGGTGTAGGGGAGGTTTTGTTTATGAGGACATGGGAGAATTTTTTTTGTTAGTTAGGTTACGCTTGGATGTTGACCATGTCCCGGTAGAGTCCGGTGTAGTAAAGACCAGTTGGTATGCAGGAGAACTTCGAGTCCTCACAACTTTGGCAAATATCATGAACTCACGTGCCATGAGCTGCCAGGTGAGTCGTGTTTCATGTAAGAGGCCGATTGAGCAGATTCCTCGGACAATCAAAGGTCTAGACGTTGTATGACAGCGGACTGATAACGCGGGCCAGGGTCGGCGCGACGCCAAGGGGTCATTGTTTCAGGGCTGATGGGATAATTTCTCTTTTTCAACGAAGTGACTCATGTGGCGCTTTAGAGCCACCGTAGTTAACTCCAAATTTAACGCCAACGATTGCGGATGCTCTTATGCATAACCCGTTGACGATCGGTCTATGCATCGGTACTTTTCAGTTTACGGGGTCGGACAGCTATACGAGTGTCTATGTAACTGAAGTTGATTGTTGAAGTGAAACTGAAATTCATTCTCAACGTGAAGAGAGAGCATTTCATTAATGGGTACCAACGAACAACATCCATATGAACCATTACCATCCAACTCATCTCAATCTCATTTATATCCACCACCACCATCATCATCATCTCATCATCCATCATCAAATTCCATCAAGTTCAATCAACTCTCATCAAACTCAATCGGATCAAAACCTTTATCTCAAATAGGATTCAATCTCCATCATCAATCCAATGGATCTTATCATCATCATCATCATCATCCATCAATTTCAAATCAAATCCATCTTTTAAAAAACCAATCTTTTAATCTTAGTACTCTTTCATCTTTAGCTAAAGAAACTAAAAACTTTAGAATTCAAGGATGGGATCCGATTTTGATTATCACTCAAATCCTTCTTTTACAATCACTTCATTACCTAACACTTTCGATCCTCATCCCTCCTCTCTTGACAATCTTTGCCAAACCGATCCCATTAGAATACGAAGGAGGACCGGCAAATGTAGGTATGATTATGGATTGGCGTGAGATGGTTGGATATGGTACTTTACATCATTCTTCAAATCGATTAGGTGGTTGGGCTGGCTATGGTAAATTACCGGATTCATTGGGTAGACGTCCACTCAGGGTCGGATCGATTTTGCCTTCTATGAAAATCGAATCGGGTTTGGGTCAACGGGCGAATGGATTGGTGGATCGGATCGAACGTGGATTAGGAATCGATTGGGCTAAGTCGCTGGAAGATTCAATGTCGATTGATTTGGCTGCTGATCCGAATCGTGCTTGGGTTTTGGCGGCGGCTTGGTTGATGGCTAGTCTGGTTGGGTGAGTAGTTTGGTTTTGTTTTAGATTTAGTTGAAATTAAATTCAAGGAAACTAACAAATCAATCTTTCCTGTTTGATTTATCTGTTTCTTAGGGTTTGGTACTTGTATCATATCGTACGAAGACCGATCCATATCATGGATCATTCCTTAACAATAGTGTTAAATCATTTAATCTTAACCACCTATTATTCATCATCATTTCCTACTTCGATTTGGTTTTATTCAATCTTGGTTTCTAGTTCGGTTTTACAAATCATTTGGGCGGAGAATTTGTGTGTGAAACGTGAGATGAGAGAAGGATTAGGAGTAGGATGGAAGATTGATCAAAGACCTGAAGATGATCATCAGATGAGATTGATGAATGATGTGGGATCGGGAGGTGTTTTGGGTTTGTCGTCAGTAGTGGGTCATCAGTTTAATGAAGTGGTTGTAAATGTGAAGAAAGTAGATGAAAATTCATTGAATGATGAGTGATAATACTTTGATGATCATCATGGTGATCTTGATGGATTGATGATTGAAATTGCATTGCATTCGGAGAGGCATACATGATTGATATATTTAATGAATCAGATGGATTAGTCATATGAGGTTTTGGAATAGGAAAGCGAGATTATAATCTGATCTCTGGGTTAAGTGAGAGTCAGATCAATGATTGGATTCAAGAATATGAGCTTTATTGTGAGCCAAAGATCCAATTGAGTTTGATGGATTGAATTGAAAGTATGAGAGATGGTGAGGGATTGAAGTTGAAGTTGAATGAGAATGGATGGAATCAGATGAGAAGTGAAGCTGATTTGAGATTTCTTGAAGCAGTTGATTGAGCAATGACAGTTGAAGGTTCTTCTAAAAGACAGTTTGTAAACGGTTTTATATTGAACTGTTGTTTTCTTGATCTGTATTTTGCCCCAATTCTTCGATCTGTCAATTTCTTTGAAGAAACTCAATCAGACTGAAGTCAAGTCAAGCTAAGCTTGGGAATCGATCGATCATCAAGGATCATGTTGGACTTCACTTCTCAACTTTCTTTCTCTCATCTTATCTCAATCATCTCTTCTTTCTGTCTTTTCTCTTTTTTCTTAATCATCATTGCAGTCATCATCAATGTGATCTCTCAACTAGTAAGTCAACACCCATTCAAACCCAAAAAAAAGACTAATCAAATTTTGGATGTTTTTTGAAATATATAGTTACCAAAAGATCCAAGTAAACCACCATTAGTATTTCATTTCTTTCCAATCATTGGTTCTGCTATCATTTATGGAATCGATCCATACGAATTTTTTGAAAAATCTAGAAAACAATATGGAAATGTGTTTACGTTTGTTTTATTGAACAAACAGATCACTGTGGCTTTAGGTCCTCAAGGTAATTCGTTGGTTTTGAATGGAAAACTTTCGGAAGTTAATGCTGAGGAAGCTTATACTCATTTAAGTAAGCTTTTGATTCTTAATGTTTAAAGTCCTGTTGGGTTTTCGTCAGAGTGATCAAAGAGAATTGATTTTTTGATTTTTTTTTTGCTGGAATTTGTTAGCTACACCTGTTTTTGGTACTGATGTGGTTTATGATGTACCTAATCCGATCTTAATGCAACAAAAAAAGTTTATTAAATCGGGTTTATCGGTTGAAAATTTTAAAAGATATGTTGGAATGATTGTAGATGAAACAGTGGGTTATTTAGAAGGACATATCTTTGAATGTAAATTGATTTTAAGATTATATATTTCCATAAAATGATCTTTTTTTCTGACTGTTTTGTTTTTGTTTGTTTTTGCCAATTCGATTTAGCACCAGAACAAAAATCGTCAACCAAAGATATCTTTAATGTCGCATCTGAAATCACAATCTGTACGGCTTCTGCTACTTTACAAGGAAAAGAAGTTAGATCAGGTTTAAACAAATCCTTTGCGAAACTTTATCATGATCTAGATGGAGGGTTTACACCTTTGAATTTTGTGTTTCCAAACTTACCATTACCATCATACAAAAGAAGAGATCAAGCTCAAGTCTTGATGAGAAACTTTTATTTAAAGATTATTGAAGATCGTCAAAGAGAAGATCGTGAAGGAGATTCAGGTGATATGTTAGATGCCTTAAAAGGTCAAACTTATAAAGATGGAACACCTTTGACGAACAAAGCGATGGCTCATATCATGATTGCTCTTCTCATGGCCGGTCAACATACTAGTGCTGCTACCGGCTCTTGGCTCTTGGCTCATTTGGCTCAAAGACCGGATTTGGTGGATGAATTGAGAAATGAACAAATCGAAATCTTTGGTCATGGGGATGAAAATGATTTGGATCCATTGGATTATGATCGATTACAAAGTCCTTTGATGAATGCTTGTATTAAAGAAACTCTTCGATTACATCCTCCTATTCATTCTATCATGCGTAAAGTAAGTCATCATTCACACTCTATCAATCTCGTTACTTTATCTGATTATTGACATTTGGATCACTCGTTTTTTAGGTCAAATCACCTATTGTAGTTCCACCAACCCTTGCAGCCTCAAATGAAGATACACCTTACATTATCCCACCCACACATTACGTGATGGCAGCACCAGGTGTATCACAATTAGATGAATCGATATGGAAAGAAGCCACGAAGTTTGAACCGAAGAGATGGTTAAACAAATCGAACCGACCAACTCAAGAAGAAGAAGAAGAAGGAGAAAAGATTGATTATGGGTTTGGAGAGATCAGTAGTGGAACGAATTCACCTTTCTTGCCTTTTGGAGCAGGTCGTCATAGGTGTATTGGTGAACAATTTGCTTATTTACAGTTGGCTACGGTCGTTTTGACGATCTTGAGAAGATGTGATCTTCGATTAAATGGAACGTTACCTAAACCTGATTATACTGTATGTGGTTTTTTTATGGTTTTGGGATACGAAGTTTAAGATCTTTCGATAAGAGTCTCTTGACTGATGAACTTTTTTTTGTTTCTGCTTTTTTTTATTGATTGTATAGACTATGTTAGTTTGTCCACGTAAACCAAGAGATGTAACATTCATTCGAAGATAACCAAGTCAACAAATACATCAAAGAAATCAGGTTTCATTAAGGAATCAAACAAAGACTGATTTCTCGTTCTTTTAATTTTCTTCGTGATTCAATTTTATATATATCATTTGATCTGTTCTTTAAAAAAAGAAAAAAAAGAAAATCCACTCAAGTTGATATAAGTAAAGAAATCTTGATTGAGTCTTTGGATATCTCTTCCAAGTTTTTAGTCAACTTGGGAATTCAATTTGATTCCATGTTTTGGTTTTGGAATATCTGTTTTTTTGGGTGGTTTCTTTGGTTTAGTTAAGATGGTTTGGTTTGAAATTTGATTGAATTGAATCGTGCGTTTTTTCATTGAGAGGATGAGTATGGATAGATGTTGATTTGATGAGATACTACAAGACATTTACATACCTTGGTTTGATTTGTCAGACTAGCCTTTTTTGGGGTAAGCCTGTAAGTTTATGAATCTTGAGATTTGTTGAGAAGGGTCTTTGATGTTTCAAAACAAGATGAGTGGTTTGTTTTGAACTCCACAAGATAAAACATTGCAGCTTATGATACGGTTTTGCAATACTTGAGGTTTCTCATCCATATGTTTGTCTTGATGGGTGGATTTGGTGTCTGTTGTTTATCATCTTGATCAAGGTCTTGATATGAGAAACCTCATTCATGAAGCAATGTAAGTAACCCAATGAGGGTGAGAACCATTGAGTAGGCAAACAAGGCTTTCCTTCAGGTTTGATAGTCATTATGACACTCCTCCTGAACCTTGGTTTTTTGAAACAAAGGTAAAGATGATTTGTGCAAAAGGGTGAGTATCAAATTGGTAAGACCCCTCCACAGCCAACATAGATGCCTCGGATTGGAAAATCTGATGTATCATTGGATTGAAAACCTCTGGGCTTTCATCCAACAATTCTGTCAGTTTTTTTCCATCAAAAGTCCTTCTTCCCACTCATCATCCCAATCTTCCCATACAATTCTTCCCCCTACCCCTATACTGAAGCTCTATCTTGTCTCCCTGTCATGACATAGGGTGCCGGATGTGGTAAACTTATATAATCCATCTCAACTCCTACTTCACCAATGCAAGACATTCTTTGAACCTACAAAGGCCTGCATTGGGGATTGTGAAGGTTGTGATCATTGGCAATGGCTCACATATCATGATTTGCCAACTATCAGGGGTTGTGAAAGTTTTGTGAAAGCCCCTGTATGAATTTTGCTTGTTCTTGACTGACAAATCTGGCAACTCTATACATCCACCAGAACTTGGTCACTCATGGTGTTCTCCATCCATTCCAACAGCGTGTTGATAATCTTCACCACTTTCAATAAATTCTTGACGACTTTCATCAGATCCAGGAACAAGATGTGTATTGTCAATCATGGGACTTCCAACAGGGTTAGCATCAATCATGTCATATTCTTCAAGAAGGTTACCAACATATGGTTTTAGCTTTTCGATCTCTGGTAACCTTCATTCCAAGTATAAATTTAGCTTCACCTAGATCTTCCATGTCGAAGCTTTTGTTGATGAGATTTTTAAATCAATTGACATCATTACTTGCTATTGTCATGTCATCGACATGAAGATGGACATAGCATTTCCATTTAGGATCAGTGGAAACAAAGACGCATGGATCTGAAGGGGTTTGTTTTAAATTAATGCTGAGAAAGAAGGCTTTAATAACATCATGCCAGCATCAAGGAGATTGCTTAAGACCATAAATTGACTTGTTTAGCCGAAGAACTGATTTTTCCGTCGTTCCTGGAATGATGGATCCTTAGGTATTTGAAGATAGATGGTTTCTTTAGGAACACCATTCAAAAATGCTAACTTGACATCCATGACATGAACATCCAGATCTTCAATGGCGGCAATATTCATGAGGGCACAAAGAGAAAGAAGTCCGCCGGTTGGAGCAAAAGTATCTCCAAAGTCTTCTGGTCGTTGTGAGAATCCTTGAGCACATAAACGCGCCTTATATTTAATCAGTTCACCTTGCGCACCAAACTTCTTTTTAAAGACCGAAGTGGTACCAATAGCATGTGCGCAGTCAGGTAAGTTGACAATGTCCCACACTTTTCTGTCTTTCATGCCTTTAAGTTCCACATCAATTGCTGCTAACCAGTCATCTGCATCTTCTCTTGACATAGCTTCTTTTATGTTATTAGGATAAGGAGCATTAGCTAATCTGGCAGATCGCGCGCGACGAATGCGACGCGCTGACATAAGTCTGTGACGTTGAACAACACGAGCAGCTTGAATTCGATGACGTTTCAAACCTTCAGGTAAGATATTTGCTTCATCAATTGAACTTGAAATATCATTGATTGCCGGTACTGACGCAGGTTGCCAATCCCAAGAATGTTTAGAAGGAATAACTGGGAGAGGAGGAGACGGCAATGGATGCCACATGATGAGATCACCCATGTCATCGTAACCAGCAATAGGAACACCTTGTCGAGTTGGTTCACGACGAACTAATGCACGACTTTCATCAGGAGGCGGTAACGCTTGACTTTCGTCCGGAGATGGCATCTCTGGAGAGTTGAAAGGAGTCGGTGGTATTTGAGGTGATGGAGGCGGTGTGAGTTCAATTGGATCCAATGGAGCTGGAACATAAGGATCATCTTTGTCTTCAATAAGGAAATCTTCATCATGACCTTCAGATTCATTCAACCCAGGAAAAACTTCATCATTAAAAATGACATCATGACTATAAATGATGGAACCATTTTCTAGTTGAACACGAAAATTGTGCATCCCTATTTGGAACCCAAGAAGAATACCTTTGGCGGTGGTGTCACCAAACTTTCCATCACGAAGGTGTTTAGGAATTAGGACGTAACAACGGCAGCCGAATGGATGAAGACGAGAGTAATCAAAAGGCCTCTGATGCCAAAGTTCATACAGAGTCTTGTTAGCGTGTTTTTCCATAGGAGTAACATTTTCAAGAAAAACAGCAGTTGTAACTGCCTCCGCCCAATAAGTAGCAGGAAGCTTTGCTTGTTTTAAGAGGGCTCTAGCTTTCTCAGTGGTAGTACGATTACCCCTTTCAGCAACCGAGTTTTGTTGAGGAGTGTAAGAAGCTGAAAGATGCATTGTAGTACCGTTTTCTTTGAGGCAAGTAAGAAATTCTTTAGACATATATTCACCACCTCTGTCATTAACTAACGAAATTATTTTTCTTTGATGAAAAGTCTCAACTTCACTTTTAAATTCAAGAAAACGAGGAAAAGTTTCAGATTTTAATTTCAGAGGATAAATGTATTTATAGGGGGTACAAGCATTGGTAAGTTTAAAATAGTAAGATGCACCACCTAATGATGAAACTGTGATTTTGCCGCTTAGATCACTATGAATAAACTGAAGAGGAACAGCTGACACAGGAAGAGTTAATTTGTAAGGCAAAGGATGACCTTTTGATAGAGCACAAGCATCACAAGACCAATTTGGTGGAGGAGAGCAATGAAAAAGCACTCTTTAGCGATCAGAGTTTGTGTGACCTGCGAGCCTGTGAGGAGTATCATAGGAAGTCAGAGACCAAGCAGAAGAAGCGACGATGGATGGTAAAGCTTGCTTACCGAGTTTGAGATCAAGCTCGAGTACGCCATTACGGATAGAGCCAAAAAGAATTGGAGCCTCATCTTTCTTGACAACAAAAGAATCTTCCTTGCTATGTAAGGAGCAACCTTCAAGCACTAATTTACCTAAGCTGAGTAAAGTGCCATTAACTTTTGGAATGTGAAAAGCATGAAAAGAGTTGACCGATCTGTTACTTGAGCCGTGAATGAGTCCTTCACCAACAATCTGAATAATACTTCCATTGGCAAGTGAAACAGTTGATTGTTTAGGTACGTAAGAGATGAAATCTTCGAAGTTAGAAGTCATATGATTGGAACAACCGCTATCGAGAAGTTTGGACAATTGATTTGGTGAGAACTTGACAGCAAGAGCACGAGATCGGTGAGCAGGAGCAAAATCGGAAGCACAAACAGCACCAACATAGGCAGAGGAAGCGTTTTGAATAGAAAAGATGTTGTTGTCAACATATCTTGTTGAATTGACGACAGGTTGATCACATTGACGTAAATTAGCAGGACGTTTATCAGGGAAAACAGCCCAACAATTATCTCTAACATGCTTAGTGAGAGGATTATGAACTCCGTTAGGACAAAAATTTTGTCTTGAATTAGAATTGGAATTGTTGCAATTAGAAGAGTTGTTTCGGTTATTAACAGCGTTGGAGAAAGAAGCAGTAGGAGCAGCACGACAAGTAGTTAAAGCAGAAGAATCCGGTTTGATCTTGTTTTCTTCTTTGTTGGCAAAATGTTTGTCAAGGGCGATTAACACATCAATTGTTTTTAAAGGACGCTTTGAATACATAAGTTCTTTAAACGTGGCCATGCTATCAGATAGTTTATGAACAATGATCTCAGCAAGTAAGCCATCACCTATGTCCTTAGTAACATCACAGTCGACTAGATCAGTCATCCCTTGACGTATGTCCTTGATAAATTGAGACAAAGAAACAAAAGAGACACAAAGAAAATTTAAGAAGACACGACTTTGACTGGCCGCATTAGTTGACTGATAGTGAGACAAGATAGCATCCCAAAGTCGATTTGGATTAGTCATATTTTCATTGGTGACAAAACGGGTCTTGCTTGCTTGATCGATACGTTGTAAAATGACACCGGCAGCACAATTTCGATGTTTGATGAAATCGGAGTAGATAGGTGAATCGGTGGCAGGGACAGTTGGATGAGGAGTAGAGATAAACATGACTAGGTCATGTTCCAACATCCAACCATAAAGATTTAAACGCCATTGCAAAAAATTCGTATTGTTCAACTGCTCAATAGTTGAATGCTTTGTTCCTCCATTGGACAAAGACATATCGGTTGAAAAAGTGATTTAAAAGTTGAGTTAAAAATCGTGTAGCACCTGGGCTCATAACCAATTGCGAGTTGGCTGAAAAGCTGAGGGAGTTTGCTATATTAGCAAATAGAGAGATAACAAATATCTCTATGACCAATAATGAGCAGAGACAAACCTGAGGGAGTTTGCTATATTAGCAACTAGAGAGATAACAAATATCTCTATGACCGATAATGAGCAGAGACAAACCTGCTCAGAGTGATGGGTAGAAATCGGTTAGGATTTATATTAACAGCACAAGAACAAACAAACAAACAAAGTAGAAATAATAATGACCTGAGGGGTTTGCTATATTAGAAACTAGAGAGATAACAAATATCTCTATGACCGATAATGAGCAGAGACAAACCTTCTCAGAGTGATGGGTAGAAATTGGTGAAGAAGAAAGTACAAAGTAGTCAAAGTAGAACACCTATTTATACCACAAGAATCACTTAGAGACGGTCACGAGTACAACACAGCATATGACATCACAAGATGAGTAAGAGGATGATATCATAGATATGAGACAAGTACTCAATATAAGAAGAAATAAATAAGAGATTAGATAACCCAACACTACGTCTGATATTGTACTTCAATTCACTGATGGGTCTTCACATAAAAAGCTCTACCAAGCATTAGGTATGAATCTTTTTCCACTTGGAGAGTAATCAGACACAGGCCGGGGTAACTATCTCCACAGAGCATCAGATATCCAGCAACTTACTGAAAGCACAGCAGTTGAGTCATGACCATTGCAGACCAAAACCAACAATTATGTCCTAGTCACTAAAGTACCATGAATCATCTCAAACATTCAGGATTGATTGGTGAAGCCAGGCAATCTAGCTCATCTTTGACAACTTGGAGGAGAGTTTGTTTTTAAGGCAATGACCAACTGCAAGCATAACAAAAAAGAGGTTTGGGATGACTCCACTGATACAATTCCCCCTAAAGAAGGATCAGTCATTGGAATGAGATATGCTCACAGAATGAACTCAGTTTAATTTTGGTGGAGTGGATTCTTGTAGAACTTGATCACATATTCATTGTGTCACATCTGAATTTGTAGATAGCTTTTAAGGATTTATTGTAGATAACGATATGCCTGCAAGATATCGTTTTGCCTAAGAATCTTTGGCGGGATCTCTACTCTCAAGTTTCCATAGCTCTTTCCTTTGAGGGGCACGTTTCAAAAAGAGAAACAATACAGAGTGTCTACTTTGGCTTATATGATTTGGTATGACTATCCATGAGAACACACAGTGATGCATGTGCTTGACATTCAAGACTCTTCAGCTTAAGGTATTCAAAGGAATGTTTGGGATTGTCACCACTGTTCATGAAGATGATGTTCTTCATGATGCATACCCAATGCATTCTGAGTAAAATACCCAAGCACCTTTTGAGAAGAAATACATCAAATTGAAAATACCTTGATCAATGCTTGACTCCCAGATAATCAAATACATGTTTAGCTCCAAAACCTTCAAAAACATCATCACTTCAGCTAATGTATGGACCAGTACTTACAGCATCTAGCGCATCCGAGGGGTGATGAGGCACACGATGCATCAGGTGACAAAGAAGAAAAAATACAATTTCTCTATTCCACAAAGAAAGATGCACATCCTCTTGATAACTTGCTTAAACATAAGTATTTGCCACTTTTTCTTCATGGCTCGTCATATCAGTCAAACAAAGTCATGCATCACTCCACAATTGTCAGACCTTTGATCACGGAAGTTTTCCATCGAGGTGGAGTAGATTTCTCAACAAACCTGAGTCACTTGATACCGTGAGCCTCGCATCCTTGGTCCATCCTACAATTTCGGTTCCATTCAAATACTGAGTGAGATGGACTGCAACAAGAAGATTGAAAATCTGAAAAATTGCCCGATGAATACCTTTGGTAAGCCTACCAAGCTCAACTTTAGACAAACAAATTACGACAAATGATATGTACTGGTACATACATGGAAATTATCTGCAATGATGCGGCTGCCTCACTGACACCAGACCTGATCAATTAATGACCCATACAGCGATAGACCGAACACTCGATGTTTCAGCTAATATACGGAAGGGCTATCTGCTTCTCATTCAGGTCAGTTCTCGGTGTGAGTGGTTCTATCGCGTTACTAGAATTGCACTTCGTGGCAGAGGTGGGCTGCGATAGTGACACTCTGAAAACTCAATCTATTTTCTTCTAGCCGCAAAAATTCTATCGGATTTTAGGGAAGTTTTCTCAATTGGTATACAAAATCTGAGCGTACCAGAGCGTACCCCGTGCAAAACAGCGGGAGGATGGTGTATCACTACAAAATTTTGTATAAAACCTGGCGCGGGATCAACTGCGGTAAAAATCTCTCTGCGCTCTAGTTACTTGCTATTTATCAACAAATATCATCATTTATATGTATTCATCTTTCTTTCAGAGGCTTCTCACTTGCATTCTCTTGTATCATTCTTTTATAGAGTGCAAGCATATTTTCAAGAGAGAATTAAAAGGTTTGTCTTGATAAAATTTTCAAAGCTTCATACGATCGGTCGCAATACTAACTCAAACTTCGATCAAATTTGCAGATCCTGGAACAGTCTTGGGAGAAGTGCGGTGTCTTGAAGCAAATGAAATCAAAAATTCCTGGAAAGTTGATAACTCACAAACACATCAAGTTCCTCTTCAAGACCTTCGCAGCCTAGATGCAAAACCTGACTTGAAAACTTATGGATTCACTTATGTGACCGAGAGGCACATTGCAGGACCTGAAGATGTGGAAGAACTTTCGGACGAATATATATCCGCATTGGAAGATGATTCTGTGGAACTAGTGAAAGATCTGTAAGGAAGAAAATGGGAAAAAAATATCTTTGAGAACAACAAAAAGTGGCTAATCGATTTTAATCATTTAGAGCATCCGCACTCGTGCGGTAAATCGAGTGCGGTAAGGTTAAATTTAACGCAACCGCGGGGTCTTTTCCGCACCGGTGAACAATTAGCCCCGCGGTAGTTAATTTTTCATCAGTTTGCGTTAGCGAATCGGTAAATCTACCGATTGGCTAACGCATGCGGTAGCACACATCACGACCTGTTCACAGCAACTACAACTCCAAAAACTCAACTCAGCCCAATCTCCAATACCAAAGTCAACAACAAACATCGTCTTTTCACCTCTCTCACCCAGTCACATGAATTGAATCAAGACCTTTTAACACCAATCGATGTTTTTACGATTGTTTTTTTTGTTTTTTTGTTCTAAAATAGGTCGTTTGAAAATCTTCAACTCGACTTCAAACCAATCGAATCAATATGAAGAATTTCAGACTTCACATATGTATAGAGATAGATGAGAAAATTGAATTCTAAAGACTAATGACTGGAAGACTTTTAAGATCAAGAGATACAAACCAAACAGTTGAAAAAAGCTGAATCAAACATTAAAAAAAGTTTGGATTGGTTCAGATTGTTCATCTTTCTTGTGTAGTTTCAAATCTTTATAATTTTCACAAGATCAATAGATGTATTCAAATATAGCCTTTGTTTTCTTAAACTTGAAATCGTACTTGAAAAATTGAATGTTACCTTACTGCATGACCACTGTGGAGCACATGCATTATCGGTAAAGTTACAAACGTTACAGTGCTACTAACACAAACGAGTGCGAAATTTGGCTGAGTTAAGTCATTTTTTGCTTAATGTAGCGGTTGTTACCGCACGTGACCAAGTTAACAACCGCAAACGAGTGCGGATGCTCTTAGGATGGGAACAAAATTTGCGCATTCCTTTTCAGCTATCATTAGAGATCGCAATTCACCAGAATCAACAAAACCAGTTCCAGTGATTCACTCTGACATGTCACTATTAGGGGCTAAACTATTCAAAGAACAAATAGAAAAGGAGCTCTTGAAGTCAAAGGATCCAATGAAAATTAAATTTGCCAATTACCTCAACCAAGGCAAAGAGGTTGTTATCATCAATGTCTGGAGACCAGTTCATGCAGTTCAAGACAATCCACTTGGTCTTTGTAAATGGAATTCACTTTTGCCGGAAGATACTCTGCAAGCGAAGATAACGCCAACCACAGCTGAAAATTCAATGCAGGCATGGAGGTATAGAGAAGGTCAAGACTGGTTTTACTTGAGCAAACAGCAACCCAGTGAAGTGTATGCATTTATGCAACACGACAGTAGAGGAGAAAATGGACACGGAGTTAATGTACCACATGCTTCCTTTACTTTGACAGAAGATCGTGAAAAAACTTTTACAAGAATTAGTTTTGAATGTAGAGTGATCGCAATCGTGGATCCGACCGTCACTGAAGGGATATTTTCAAACTTTTATAGAAGAATTCTATCATTATTTGACTGATTCGATTTGAATGCTCGAAGACAGTTTATGAAGCAGGTTTGCACTCTTTGTCCAGTAAAAATTTCTTTAATCTTTCTCATACCATAGCATTTCATATCCAACAAGTACCAAATCCAGAAGACTTATTGCACATAGATTTTTAATAATCAATAGTGGTAAATAGGAATATAAATAATGACATTTACAAAGATTATGGCGACATTGAGTGAGAGGAATAATGAGATGAAGATCGAAATTAAGAGATATTTTCATGGCATTGGTAAGGCTATGGAACTGAACTGGAGAAGAATGACCGATGTCAAAGAGGCCATGGATGGAAACTGCTTTACGAGGCTGCCTTCATACGCGAGCCACGAGCTGCAACAATCGAAGTTGAATTTCTGCAAGAAAATGTGTCGGGCCGGTCCGGGTGTTCGCGAGGACTTCTGGATTCGAATGTAGGGGTCAGGTCGGATCAGTTCAATGTGATCGGATAAGGATTTGCTGAGCCCTGGCACTTAACCATTCATCGACTGCTCAGCCTCCTCTGGAACTATCAATCATCATGAAGCAAAGAAGTCATCATCAGAATCTCAATCCTCAACAAACCAAGACCATCTCAAACGACTTTGACCTTTCATTTCATCAACACTCACATCTTCAAACTCACATTCCCCTTGACCCATCTCAACTAGAAAATACAACTACTCAACTCGAGCATTTAGATGATGATGATGATTGGGTTCTGAGCTTAATGAGCTGCCCCAAAAGATCTACAGCTTACTGTGGTGAGCTTGTTAGTCTTCTTTCTTTTTGACTTTTATCGTCTCATAACAAGTTTTATTTCGCAATCATTGACTCAATTTTACTGGCAGACGAGGTTCTAGAAATCTATCTCAGCCTCACTATTCCGACCTCTTCGACCAAATTTCTTGAGGATGAAGAAGAATCGCGTAAAAATAACTTGGTTTTTTTCCAACAGTCTCTCTCAGTGCAATTTGAAGCATGTTATGAACTTTCTTCAGCACCGGGCATTTCGATTCGAGGTCGCAATAATCCCCTTGGCAGAGTCGACACAACAGCAACGGGTCTAGACCTTCGAGATGCCAAGAGCAGCCCACTCGATATCGAAGATGATACAGCACCTCTTCACACGTCTCCTATCATGGTCGCTCAGCCTACTGGCTCCCCAGAAATCCTCAGTTCTTTCAAAGCCACAAGCGAAGCTACGCGACTGTTTACTGCAACTTATCCTGCCAAAGGTCCCTCTCGGAGCTCTTCATATTTGGAGGATACCTCGAATGCCTCAATGAAGGATCATCAAAATATAAGTTCGATGCGGCTGGGAAAAATTAAGGATGATTGGGTCATTGTATGGAAGATTCAAGGCAAGATATGTACGTCGATCAGACCTCCTGCTGTTGCCAAGAGATCTAACAGCAATTGCTAACATCTTCTTCTCCATACTGCAAACGGATTTTTCAGCTCCAATGGAAGTATCCGATCAACCCATGACTTTGACCTTGTCATCGATTGTCACTTATCACAGTCTTTCATCTCGAAGGTCATTCGCACTTCCGATAGACTCAAGTATGGGAGGATCCAGTACAATAGCACTATCTCCAGATCTTCAAGATATGGGCTATCCACCTCGCCCTGGCCCTTCTGATGAATACAACTTTGGCAATGTAGACGACACAAATCTCCTACAGGGTCTTGGATTAGGTTCGTTTCTTCGGACCTCTGCGGCTTTGCTGTCTTCGCTATCTCAACGGTCTTCTTCCATGAAAGTCCACCAAATTCGACTGATTTATTAACTTCCAAATGGTCTCAGATCTGCCTTTGCCACTTTCTTACTTGTCACCAAAACCCTTTTTACAAGGTGCTTCTTCCTCTCCGCATCCATCTGAATCGCGAGTCAAAGATACTTCGCGCCCTCATCCACGCTCCAAGAATCTAACTTCTACACCTCGATCTACTAGTGCTTCACTATCCTCCGCATTCCCTCCTCGGTTATCAGAGATCACGAGCTCCACTAGTCAACCTGAGGCCACACCCAACCCGAATGAAGCGACTAAGTCTCTTCAGGCCCAATCATCATCTGGTCGCCGTTTGAGTGCGCCGTCCGAAATACCGATCCCGCTTGCTACTTCTCATCACCACCTGACTGGGCCAAGGTCTGACGGTCCCTATGACCAGTCTGTGTCAGACGCTACGATTTTCTCTACGGCCGACCATACAACAAGTTACAGTTGCACGCACCTGCAGCAATCACCTAAATTATTGGAAGCCGAGAAGCGGCATCATACAACCTTGAGCATTATATGTCCTTTGTCTCTTGACGTTCGGACTGCTATCATTCAACACAATAACAAGCCTACCACATCATATCTACCGCATCAAACCGTCTTCATAAAACAGCCAGATGCGTCATTCATGCTACTTCTGGAGATTGGAAACATCAGAAGGCGACGTACTGAGAAAGCACTAGGTGATGATGAGATGACAAGAGATTTCATACTGGAAGATGTAAAGATTGCGGTCCAGAATCGAACATGTGAGGACGGATTGAGTGAAGATGAGCAACTTGGAGGACAAGGAGCCATTCAAATCTCATCATTAGGCTCAGATGTATCTTCAGGATCCAGATTTCCTATTCGAGTGCCAGAAAGCAGTCGAGAGAGTTTGATCTATAAAATTAAACCGGATAATAGCCATGAGCGAAACCAGGGAGAGGTAATTTTACCTCCTTCTACACCAATCTCTGACGTTACTATCGCTCTCCAGCATGAAAAAAGAGGTATCAACATTGATGAACAAGAAACAAACCTACCGAGTGCGATATCTGTATTCGATGAAGCACAAGACTGTTCTTCTACAGTTTGGCTAGGGAATAAGAAGCAAACTCCCAATGATGGTGTTTCTTCAAAAAGTTTTCGATCGCCCGGGTTTACTGACAATCCGGCTCAACACCACTCTCGAAGTGAAGTTGATCATGATTTAACAAACAAACCAAATTACGTGTTGGAAGTTCGAATCAAAGGAAAGGTTGCATTTGGAACTCAGTCAATCAATCAATCCGCTTCAGGTACGATCGTAGCACGATGGACGGCAGTCATAGGATCCGACTTTCACAGATTAACCAAATTAAATTTACATCGAAGAAGCATGTATTCTAAACGACTTCGAAATGAAGAAACATCAATTCCATCGCCATTTATTCAAAATCGTCATGAAAAAGATTCAAGACAAGATAGTTTAGTGGTAGGTAGTAGAAAACATACTGCGTCTGAATTAGCAGGAGTTTTATCGAAATTTTCAGATTTTCAATTTCGACTTTCTTCATCAAATAATCAAAATGAAGATGAACTCTCTATCACACCTTCTATAGAAACTGATGGATATTCAAATTATAATAAACAGAGTAATCAAAAACTTGGCGTTAATCAACATCTTGGTGGTAATAGTAGTAATAGTGGTAGTAGATCATCATCTGCCTCGCCACTTCCATCACCTTCAATTACGTCCTTTAGTCAACGTTTGATTCGCTCTATTTCTTCTACTTCAAATACTCCTACAGAAACTATCAATGATCATAATTCTAAGTTACAAATCTCACCAGATAATTTAAAACGAAAAGATAAATTATCACCTGGTCTTCAATTAAATACTAATCGATTTTTAAACCATCATAATTATAAAAGATTAGATGCAAATAAAAATCAAGAAGACAGATTGATGGTTAGTACGAGTTTGGTGCTAAGAAATCCAGAAGAAAGGATCAAGGTAGGTGAAATCTTTTGGATTGAAGTCGTTTTGGTCAACTCATTTGAAAGATTAAGAAAAACTGGCGCCTTTGAAGTCGGAGTGATTGGAAATGAAATTATCGGATTAGATGATATGATGTTGATAGGGTAAGTTTCAAAACTTGATCTTTCAAATCTTTGAAAATATTGATGGAAGATTTTATGTTTGATAATTTTTAGACCATTAGAAGAAGGTGAATCTGGTTCAGTAAGAATTAGATGTGTAGCTATGAAATCAGGAATTTGGTCTGTTTCTGTGATCATGAGAAAAAGAAATTTTAGAAAACAACAAATTAGATTGATGGACGCTGTTTTGGTTGGAGTTGTAGCGTGAGAGTCATACAAAGAGATTTGCCTCTTGAATGTTGTATTCATCATCATTGTTTTTATTTAGATGTTTATTCCTCTGAAGGTAATAATTCCAAAGCAAAGGGTATTTTAAACGAGTCATGGAATTGAGCGTGATCAGGATTGATAAACCCTTTTGTTGAGATGATTGAGATTTTCCAGGTAAATAGTTGCACAAGGCCCTTTTCAATGAAAATAGACTTTCTGGCATTCTAGTCATGGTCCCTTTCATCACTCATGCATGATTTATAAAACAAGGATTCAGTAACAAACTTGTATGGAGGATGTAAGATTGACATAAAAAGTTCATCAAGTTATTACAAAATGTTCGACACATGCCATGATCATGACGGTGATGATGAAATTATTGTACGAAGTCCTTGAAAGAATAGGTAAGATAATCAATAGAACTAAGCGCAAAAAACGTTTATTACAATTACTAAGACATCGAATAAGAAAGAACAATAAAGCCACCTTATGTGAATAGACAACTAGCGTGCATTTGAGCTGAGATCACCTTTCCTACAATTATCAACTTGAAGAACCTTCGCGTGTAAAGTCCTAAGAGAAATCACACCTAAATCGATGGAATTAATTCGATCCAAGACTGTGAGAAGATAGAGTGGTGCAGTTGATAGAAGACTATAACATATTAAGATGTAGCTTCTCCAAGAATACTAGCATTCAATTCAGCCAATGGAACTAATTCATCCTTTTTGACTAAATCAAACTTTAATAAAAACCAAAACAGAAATCAGAGATTTTGTAAAGGCAAAGAACGTAGACTTAAGGACGCTTACTTCATCAATAAAAAAATAAAAATGACGATAAGATGTATTCAGATGAGCTTCAATACCTAGAGCACAAATTTGAGCAAAATGATGATTATAAAGATGTGCGTAAACACGAAATAGTCTTCGAACGATTGATTGAACAGTTGCTTTGAACGTTTTTGGAAATTCTTGACCTATATGTACGTAAGATAAATGGTTCATTACAAAGAAAACAAGAAAAGGGTTAATTAAAATTGATGTTTCGGGCTGTAGGAAAATTGAAAGGATGATATGGATTTACCAATTTTACATGGAAAGACTTTTTCATCATCTAGAAAACCTTGAACCCAAGTCATTAGGTATTCTACATACTCTGTATATTTTAAAACAAAAACAAAAAACATAATCAGAATCAGAATCCAATATGCGAGAAACCGAGACCGATGAATCACTCACCTGGTGCGCAAACCTTAGTAGCTTTCTTGAATTCTTTACCATCATGCCAATGATATTCGTATCTATTAGAAACGAAGAATCAATTTGATAGAATCGGACAATTGATAAGAAAATTGTAATGTACCTACTACCAGCGCTCATGACTGGACATTCAGCAGGAGTACAAAACTCAGTAACTGTTCCATAAAGCATATTAATTTGGTTATAGAAATCTAGAGCTGATGAACAATCCAAAGAATATGAATGTTAGAATCAGACGTCATCGATTCTTTTAGGTAAAGAGGATATTGATCGAGCTAAATGGGCCTACTATTGACAGCTAACCATTCATTTAAATCTTCTCCTTCAGGTAAGACGACAGCTGCTCGTAAGTTTCCAGAACCAAGAGTTGCATCTGCATACCTATCAAAAGATTTGATTTAGTTTTAAGAATTGATTATGATAGTTCTCAACTCACTTCTTCAATTGATATTGTTTGGTGTGCTCTTGCAAGTTCTACAAAACCAGTCAATTTTCTATAAGTCGATTGAAGTTTGCTAGGTAAAATTAAAGAATCAATCACTTTACGAGGTTTGATTATTGTTCGTTGTTTGCTACCTCTGTATTCCATGATCAAATAACAAGCAAACACGTTAGCGAGAAGTGGGAAGTGGGAAGTGGGAAGTGGGAAGTGGGAAGATGGATTTAAGGTAACTTACAAACCGCCGAAAAAGGACATCTTGAAGATAAAGTTTCGATTGGATAACTGAGATGATGGGTGATTGTATGCAGAGTAAAGGAATTCAAGAAGTTCGGATCAGAATCATGATGCATATGCAAGTCGACCATCATCAAGTACCGTGTACTACTGGTGTAGCGCGGACCGGCCTCGGTATAGTACCGCTCAATAAATCACCATAAAATCGGACTCGTGCCAATTTGCCAAAGCGTTCAACAGAATTTACAGAGAGCATCTTTGTAGAACTTTGAAAGACCAAATAATATGTGAATCCAATCATTTTATGTATATTTTCCTATCTATCTAGGAATCTTGATTCTAGCTTTAAAGACTCATCCAGAAGTCCTACATCTGATGGAAAGCATTAATATTTACATTGTAGAAGCAACATCATATGTCTCAACTCTAAGATTGCCATCTGGTGATAAAAAATTCAGTCTCCCAAGAAACTGAAAATTGATCATTGAATTTTTGAGGTGGAATAACTATCAGTGTTTTTTCTTTCATGCATACCTGTACTTCACTTGTAACTCATGCAAGGAAAGCCAATGTTATTTACCTAATCTGATTTGATTTGGTACTGGCTCAAAGTTCCCAATTTTGTTACAGTGATTCTTTTTTTGTGCATAAGAGCATCCACAGCCGTGCTGTAGAATGGTAATGTATGGAGGTTTGCACAGATTGTTTAAGGAACCATTTGAGGTATGGAATTTGAAGCATGTACAGACAAGGTTCCCTACAGTTTGGCTTGTAGCATCATTTGGGAGCTGTGGTATGGCTTAGATGATTATTGAGGTGTGTGATTGGCAGAGAGTCTGATTGTACAAGTCAGAGCTCATGGGAGAAGTGGGGTACAGAAGGATCAGGGTGCAAGTAGAAAAAGAACATATTTGGCCTGTTTTGGCTCACACATAGAAAATTGCTTAAGCTAAGTATCTGTTTGGGGGTAACAGCTGTGGATAAAAATACCTCAAATCTATCTTGTATGTCACAGTTTACGGCACACAGTTGTGGATGCTCTAAGTCATTTATTGCATCCCTTATAATAATGCAACATGGGTTTGTTGTAAAAAAAAGTGCAAAGCAAAATGACCCCTTGAGCAACGGTGGCACGGCTAAGCTAAGTTAGCTGTGAGGGTAGGGTACTCTTTGAGAGTGCTCTATGCTCACTAAAGTTGGAAAATGGGTAGTGTAGTAATGAAATTTGATTCTTTATTTCAAATGTGTAGTATTTACAAAATGAAATAAAGAAAAGAAAGAAAGTAAAAGAGACTGATAGTCTGTTTGGATAAGTCCAGACAGACTACAGTTAGATGACTCCTTGAAAGGAGGTTTGATTTATAATTAATAATTATTATAAAGTACAAAGGGCCCTCCTTTAATCTTTAAAGTAACAGATTAAAGAGTGAGGTGAAGGTCACTAGTCTGGTTGTTACAAAGTCACCAACTTATGGTTATTCAGAAGGTACACCAACCTGAGAGTTGATATAGGTCACTAACCTGTAGTTGTTCAAGAGGTAACTAACCTTGAAGTTAATTGGAAGGTCACTAACCTAGAAATGTTCTACTTAGGGAAAGTAGAGGATCCAGAAAGGGGAAGAAAGAGATTACTTTATCTTTTAGTCAGGAAGCTGCTTTAAAGATATGAAGTGAATCACTAGTCTTATTATCATAAGACTTTTGATTATGTACTTCAATTGAACTTTAAAGGGTTCTTTAAAAGATATGTGTAATAAATTGCTTGGGGGATTTTCTTGAATGCTGAGAGAGGAGGGGATTATATACTCTCCTCTCTAAACCTAACTGTAGTGGTATTTGTTTGTATCACAACATTGGTTTAGGGTTTGTTGTTAATGATTGTTATGATCATTATTAATTATGCTTAATTACATATACACACTAAGTATATTATGTAGTATAAGCATTTGAAACCAAAGCATTTTAACTCTTGACACTGAGTTATGAGGTGTTAATGATGTTTTATAACATACTGCAAGTTAGTTTTGGGTACATGTATATGTACTCAGGGCTGACATTAGCGCTTAGCAGTGCATTAGCTTAGCAATTTTTTGTTGCTAAGCTAGCGCTAAATCCTTAGCGCACTCAAGCTAAGCTAATCAAATTTTGATTTTTCCTTTAGCGGGTTTGCGCTAAGCTAAGCCGGGAGCTTAGCTATCAAAAAAATACATGTTTTACATGCAAAAAAGGGTCGCTAATCCGCTATTGGCGGTTTAGCAACCAATTAATTGGCTTAGTGGGTGTCATTTTACGCCCGCTAAGCTAATGGCTTAGTGTTAGCGGAAATACGCTAAGATTAGCGTTAGCGGATTTTTCCTTAGCGGCTTCTAGCTAAGCTAAGCCAAGGTGGCAAAAATCCTTAGCTTAGCTTAGCGAGCCACCGTTGCCTTGAGACTCAGGCCTAGGAAACCCCATATGGTCGTGGCTTCTGTTCCAAAAACAATCCCAACCCAAATGATTACTTGGTACAGAAGCCTAGGAAACCCCATTAGGTCAAAGGTGTCATGGCTATGCATGTCACCAAGCCACTTCAGACTTTTCAAACATTGCTTCACTATTGTCTGCATCTCAGGCTGTGCAACCTTCAGTGGTTGTATCCTGCGTGCGGCTAGCTTGTGAATGCTTTGGCGGACAATAGAAAGTCCCACCCCAAAGCAGCCAAGGGTTGCAAAACATACTGTCAGAGCAAATGGCATCTTATGCATTGGAATACGGGCATCAGAGAGGATATTGGCGAGAATGTCTACAACAGTAGGTTGGCCGTCGGCCAATGCAAGGCTCAAACGACAAGATTTTACGCCCACGCGTAAGTGAGGGTAAGTATGATCTAAGTCTATAAGGCGGCTGGCCGCCCAGGGTCTAGTAAAACACTATCCAAACATGTTGAGAAAAGTAGGGACTAGTTTACCTTGGATGATTTGGCCACCTAGTTGAAGCAAAGGAGTTTGTTGTCATTCAATGTTAAGAGGTTTTCTTTATCCTTTTTCCTTTTTTTTGCACTTTTGTGTAATCACATCCCTTAGCTCTCAGTCCCCTATCACTAGTCCCTGGCAGCCTGGTGCATCCACTGTCTTGATACTTTTTTTTATTTTTTCCTCAAATAAAATGCCATTTCATTCCTTTTGCAAATCCTTGTAGAATTGGTACATGTTAATGGTATTTATAAATGTCAAGAAGTGACATCCATAAATTTCTTGGACACGCTTCTCTGGAGGATATCTGAACTCTATAACCTGCACCTATATAGACCCCTTGCAAGTTGCGCACATGTTCATGGTGTGTGGCTTCTTTGAGTCCTCTTTGCTGCCAGACTGAGACCTGTGGCATGATCAGGTGGTATGGACGTGTTGTGATGAGGATCAGCACTTTATGGGGCTCTCAAAGTCACAAGGAACACTCTAGAAGTGTCGCTCAAGAAACTTAATTATGGAGCCATCTCTGGATGTCAATTCTTGACACTTCCCCAGGCCAATTCTTGAATGTTGAATACCCTTATTTGCGAGAAGATGATCAATTTTTTCTGTAGGGTTTGAGAGTAGGATTTGTAAGCTCAGCCTGAAGATTCCTGACGCGTGAATATTGTGGTGATTTGGGATGATTGAGGGTTGTAGTCTTGGAGATTGAATTTAAAGACGCGATGAGTTGATCACGTGACTGATGAGTTGATATTCTACTCTGAGTTTGATCGCAGTGGTCACACTCAGTGCACTGCTAGGTAGTTGGCAATCCAATCCAACCAATTTAGAATTCACTTTCCATTGACCATTGACCATTGACCATTAAACCGATTCCAATCAAAATGAAAACCAATCCATCTTCTTCCTCTTCATCCTATTCAAATTCAAATTCAAATTCAACTTCAAATCCATCTCAATCTCAAGATAAAATCAGTAAACTATCAAAAATAGCTAATAAACTAATCACTGGAGTTCAACCTACTTCACTTCAACAATCAAATCAACGTTGGGGTAATACTCAACCATCACCAAATCAAACACCTTCAAACTTAATCATGAAACCATCATCAAATCATCAAATCCATTCAAATCCAATCACGGCTTCTAGTTTTGCTGCTGCTAAGAAAGAAAGAGAATTAATCAAAACTCAACAACAATCTTCTTCTTCTTCTTCTTCTTCAAATCAAATCAGACCATTAAGATCAAACTTACATCAATCAAAACGATCTGTCTATTCAAATCAAACTAATCAAACTACCTTTGATGATGAAAATTTGAACCATCATCAAGTTTTAGTCGAACAGCAATCTTCTACTCATTTTAAACCACCTATTACTAATCGAATCAAAACTAAATCATCTGCTCCACCTACTTTTCAAACTGAAGAATTCGTGATCCCATCGAATGGTAAGCTTTGATATCCTCACATTTCAATCATTCAAACTGACCTTTATGATGGTCTATGTTCCTTTTCTAGATTTACCAGCAGCACCACTCAAACCACCAAGTTCATCCAGATTCAGTCGATTTAAACCTACCCCAAGTGAAGCGTTCTTAGCCGTAGCCTATACATCAACCCATCAAACCTCAACCGAAAACCGATCATCATCCATTTTGGAATCAGATCAAGAACCAGCTACGTTTGAGATTGCGAAACGAACGAGATTACCGGCTTCACCTGTTAAACCTCAAAGACATAAACTTAATGCTCAATCGATTTCGGTCTCCAATCCTTCGGAAGATGTGTCGATCATGAGAGCTACTTATCTTTCTCAAGGATATGAGATCTCGAATGGAAAGAAATTAGAATCTGAAAAAGATAGAGTGGCAAGAGAATTTGAAAAATTAATGGTAAGTTTCTTTTTTTTTTTCGGGATAGGACTCTTTTTTATTCGATCATCATCATGATTTTGGTTTTGGTTTTTGGTTTTTAGACAGCTATGGATTTACCACAATCTGTTAGGATCAAGATGGAAGGTCTGGATCATCCAGTAAAATCAGCCATGTTAAAAGCTTCCTCTTCATCCCAACTCACATCCCATTCCATGATAGCTCAAGCCTTACAACTCTCATCAAGTCATCCGTCTCACCATCACTCTAACAATACCCATCATCACCAGCATCAGATCAATTCCCAAGACTTGGCTCAAGAAGAACGAAACGGAACCGAAAAGGATGGACCAGCTTGGTGGGCCATGACGTTGAAATCACGTAATTTTAGATCATTGGATCCGATTGAATTGAAACGATTAAGAGTCGCTCTGAGAACTCAAGCTCCTACTTGGACTGCTGAGTTTCTTTCCTATGGTGGTTATACAGCTCTGATGAAACGATTAAAAGAATTATTGGAAATCGAATGGAGGTTTGTCTTTTTTCGGTGACTTTATTTTTTTGGGGCATGAGAGGGGATTTCGAAATCTCATTTTGGTTTTCTTTTTGGGAATGTGGAATGTGCTTTTTAGGGAAGAACAGCATGATGATCAGGTATTGTTTGAAATTTTGAGATGTTTTAAAGCTTTATTACTTAGTGAGGTAAGCATTAGACCAAACCCATTCTATTCCACTTCATCTTACACACATAAGCTATCTCATATCTGATTTGATGCGTTGTTTTGAATTTGATTGAAGCCTGGAAAAGTCGCCTTAGCATTTAGAATCCCGTCCCCATTTCTTCAATTAACCAACCTATTATATTCGGAAAAGAAACCAGGAGAGTTACCTAGTCGACAACTACTAATCGAAATGATCTATGGGATTTTCGAATTAAAGATCACAGAAGAGACCATGAAAGGGAAATCATTAGATTGGCAATCAGCAATTAATTTAGATCAATGTGATTTGAATTTAATGAAAGATGATTCGATGGGAATCGATTCAAAGTTTAATCATCAGTTGGTTAAACAGTTGTTGATGGGTGCACCGGATTTGAAGAAAGAATCTTTGATCGAGTTTGTTAGTGTGAGTCATCGGAATAGGCCTTATAAGAAATTAGTTACAGAACTTTGTGGGGTTTTGATGGATTATTTTTGGTAAGCATTGATTGAAAGAAAAAAAAATCATTCGTCTTTTTTTTGGAAATTATCTTTTTGTTCGTTCTGGGTTTTGGATCGTTGACTTTTTTTTTTTGATTTTTTTTTTGTTTTCGTATATAGGGTCTTTTGTCATTCTGAAAATCAGTATTGGGATTTAAGTGAATTAGATGAAGAACAAATCGAAAGTCCAAAAGTACCAAGTGGAATGACCGGAGGAGTGGAATATGAAGCTATGGAATATTCTGTAAGTTCAAAGTATTTTTTTACTTCCTCCAAATTAACTTTGAAAATTCAAAAACCTGATCATGTTTTTTTTTGTTTCGTTTTGAATCATAGGCTGCTGTGATGAAATTGATTAATGAGTTTATTAGAACTGAACCTGATGAGATTGGAAAATCAAAAATTCATAAAGATTTATTCGAAAGTGGATTCGAAAGAGCCTTAGTGGTCAGTTTGTTTTCTCTTAAAATAATTTTGTTTTTGTAAAAACCTGAATTTGGTTTACTTTTTTTTCGGCGACGGGGGGGGGGGGGGGTTTGTTCTTTAGACAATGAGAAAAAGTAGTATGACATATTATCCTTCGATTCATTTAGAATTAGCTAGGTATCTTGTTGAAGCTTTAAAAGTGGATGGGATTAATGGCTTTCAGATCCCTGTGAATATCATGAGACATTATAAGAAGAATTCGAAAAACTTGTTGAATTGTTCAAAATGATTTGATTTATATATCTCGACGGGGTTTTTTGGCTTTGGCTTCTTTTTTTTCTTTCTTGGTTGATTGTTTTCTTGTTTCTGTTTTTTTTTGTTTTAGGATGAAGAATTGTTTTTTTCTTGAATTTTTTAACTATTTAAATCTTTATTTTAAAAAAAATTGTTTTGAAAGAGTTGAAAAGGGTTTCAAGAATAAAGAAGTATGATTTGGAAGCTAGTAGAAGAAGAAAAGAAAAAGAATTGTATTACATTTGATCATTGGGTTTTCTGTGGTTTTAATTTTTTTTATTTGTTAGTTTAAACTTCATTTTTTGATTAATCATTTATTATTGATGAGCTTATTGGATTGAAACAAATGGTGGGTTTATGGTGTTGTTGTTTTGAAAATAGTGAGTGGATTGGAATTTTGGTGTAAATTAAAGGGTCAAGTTGAGCCATGTTCTTTACACTTGACTATGAGTAGCATTTTGCAAGCACTTTCATTGACAGGCATTTCTTAAAAGCTTGTCTAAATTTATCAGCAAAACTCAAGCAATTTGGCCATGAATTTGTGACAAGCTTTTTGAAAACAATTGTAACACCACAGGAATTATCATGCGTGAACCATGATTGAGAAAAGTCATGGTGACTGAGTCTGTGACTTTCTTCAAGTGCGGATCTTGTTTGCCATAGGTTTGCTACATAGCTTCCCTTAAGCTGCACTTTTGTTTGATTTATTCATTTTTCAGTTTATTGTGCTTTTGCTTTCTATTGCACTCACTCACAATACATAGGTCTACTGCAAAGAATTGTGGGATACAAAGTAAAATCTGGGCACATGCCCGGAATTATTTTGGCAGCAAATTTTGATTTTCTGGGCAAAAGTCCGGGCCCAGAATTCAAATTTAATTACGGGATACAAAGTAGAATCCGGGCACGTGCCCAGCTTTGTGCCCAGATTTTTTTTGGCGGTAAATTTTAATTCTGGGCCTGTACTTTTGCTCAGAAAATCAAAATTCACTGCCAAAATAATTCCGGGCACATGTCTGGATTCTACTTTGTATCCCGTAAATGTCTCTTGCAACTTCTTGTGGGTTTTCTTTCACCATGAGCTTCACTATATATATTTACGGTACTCAAAGCAAGTATGTACATGTACAGCCATTCCTAGAATCATCGGTAAATTTTGACGTTCTGTGTGTTGCACGGATTTAACTCAGGTTTAATCTGAGGTCCAAAAGTCAGTTTTGCACCTCAAGACTAGCCTAAATCTTATTTTGGCTCCGTCTAACTTTAAAATTTTAGAGCATCATTGCTGTCATTTTTGAACAACGCACTCTCTGGGGATGCCTGGTCTGCCCCCCCAGAAAGAAGCTGCCTTCGTCCTTCCACCTGTTCTCTGGCGTCCACCGGCTTCAACCGGCTCAATATTCTTTTCATCAAATGAGGTACATAAAATTCAACCTGGTCTGCCAAAGATTTCTACCACAATACTCAATCCATGATGTTTTGATTCATCATTTCGATCTCTATCGTTATAGGCGCACTCAACGGATCCTGATCTCACTTTTGGCCATCAAAGCTCACCACAATAATTTGAATACGACTTTGATTCCCCCTTTTTGTAATGTATGGTAGCGTCACTATGAAGAAGGAACAACCAAAGACGATTGTGTCAATGCAGAAAGAAGGGTATGTGGTGATTTAATTCAAAGTTTGTGATCATAGCCAGACCATCAAACAACAAACACTTGATTTCTACCAAAGAAACAGGGTGTGTCTACCAAAGAACTCTAGCAAATGAAGTAAGATTTTGTATCCCATTCTACTTTGCCGAAGTTTCAATCATGTAATTGACTTTGTTTTTCCTCCTCATAATGTTCAAAATGAAATGGAAATCGAGGCAATGACATCATATGGAATGGGGATATGAGGTCACTCTTTTTGGGGGTTCCAACAACACCGACTTTCTACATCTTGATATGGCCAAAAGGTATAAATACCGGTCCTTTTGCGGAGATTATCCTTTCCCCTCATTGATCTAAGCCCGTAAGAGATATCATATTTTTGTTAAATTTTGTTTGTGCTTGTTTCTGCTCCATCATATCCTGATATCTTTAAATTCCGTCAATCCCCAGATATCGAACTTCTGTCTCTCAACTCCAACTTATTATCCCAGTTTAACACCAGTATCTTCTTTGGTCCGTTCTATTTCCCTCACGCTCCTTTTTTTCTTCTTGCTCATTATTTTTCACATATGATATCTTGATCAGCTTGGCAAAAACAATCAACATGTCTCACCAACCTTCACCAAACCCAAATGCCTCCAAAGTGCCCGCTGTCAAAGGACACATGAATGCGCGTCAGTATATCTTTCTACATGGGTACAGTGTTCTATTTCATAATCTGATTAACATTCTTTTTGAGTTTTTGAAGTTACTTCTAACAAAACGGGCAACGATGCTCCTGCTACCTGTGGTCATCAAAATCCACTGTACCCGATTGGCACGGCACCTCGGGTTCAATTCGATAAAAGAAACGAGATGACCGTGCAGGTCAAATTTAAAATACATAGTGATAAGGAAGTCAAAGTCGACAACCAGCCCACATGTATCAAGGTAGCTAGCAGGGGCCGCAAAGCTGCTGCGAGCTCTGCGGCGTCCTACAACTTAATTGATTCCAAGTTGTTCAATGATGGGAACATCATTGAACTCGTGCAGTGTCTATTTGGAAAGTCTTTAAATGACTTCAAAGGTATGTGTGCTGACATATGCAAGGAGTATCAAAAAGGCATGCAACACATGGTTCTCCAAAGCGATATTGCGCCTCGACTCAGATGGATGGGCCAGGTTGGCCGTGCCAAAGTCTTTCTTGTCAATTCTCAAACGTGGCAAGCCTTTGTGGATTTACTTTCGAAGGCAACCAAGCACAAGGGATGTGTGACCATCTTCAGTGAAAGTCAAAAGGAAAAAGCCAGAAAGGTGGCTCAGGTACGTAGTCTCTTTTTTTTCCGGTGTTCATTTTTTTTCTGACTTTAATGACGTTTCTTAGGCTTGCGCTGCAAAAGAACTGATCACATCAGCCAGCGGCCCATCTGCATCCAAATCGGAGGTTCGTGTCCTTACCAAAGAATTAGAGGTGTGTATTTTGTTTTTGTTTGTCCCTTTCTTTGCTTTTCGATATCCTCCTCTGTTTTTTTCAATATCCTCCTCTTTTTTTTTTTGATATCCTCCTAACTCCGCCGATTTGACAGGAAGCCCGTAAGCGGATTGTGCTCCACGAACTGACTGCGCAGCTCTTCCATGATCATGCTCAAAAGGGGAACTCCGGAGACAGGGTTGTCTTGGTTTGCCCATGGGATCCTAAGATCCTTTACCGGTTAACATGGAGCGGGGCTTGGGTTTGGGCCAAAGCGGTGGTGAGCTTTCTGATTCTTGTCCTCATAAGTTTCAACTACATCTCATCCTCACCATTTCCAACTACTCTTTCCCTTTTCTCATCTCCTCTTCCCTTTCCATCTCAGCAAGCGGGCATGGCGACTCGTGAAATCCCTCCTCGCACTTATGAGTACCTCGCCATTATGAAGAAGTCGCGTGTCTACCACAAGGCTATGAAAGTAGACGATCGAGTGAAGATGCAAAGCGGCAATTTGCACTTGGACCTTTCTCCTACCTTTAACAAGGCTGGCGGTTCTCATCAGTCTTTTTTCGAACCACCAGCAAAATTATTATTTCAAAAACCAATGGCTGGTGGCTCCAAGAGATCTGCAATTTTCAGTATCTCCGATGATGGTGAGAGAAATGATAAGAAAAAAATCAAGGTTGAACCTGGTATGCTCACCATCTCTCAGTATCTTGAATACAGAAATGATAAGAAAAAAATCAAGGTTGAACCTGGTATGCTCACCATCTCTCAGTATCTTGAATACTCTTTTGCTCAGATTTTGATTATCGAACTTTTTTGTAGGCTTTGAAGATGAAAAAAGAAACATCGAGCCAAGTAAGACTCCATTCCACACTTTGCCTTATCCACCCTTTTCCTTATTTGACCACCGATCTTTTGTTTCATTCTAATCTCTCACTTGGGTAGCCAAAAGGATCACCATCGTGTTGTCCTCTGATCCACCCTCTCCTTCACCTATCATCAAACGAGAGCCAGGTATGTCACATATTCTCGTCATCATTTATTGAACCCACTCTGAGATCAACATGTCATCTTCCTTTCCTCCTCATTGTTTAATTCACCGTCATTTGGTAGGCTCGCCCTCCGGATATGGAAATGGCATGGCCATCATGCTGTCATCGGACTCACCTAAACCCGAAATCTTCTCGTCTCAAGTTACGGTTAAGAACAACATCCAAAATGAGCCCGGTACATATTTTAAATGTTGTTTACCATCACTGACAAATCACTGACACATCTTTGATGTCATTCTTTGAGTATCAGCTGGGACGATGGACCTTGCCCCAGTCAACTCAGACAAAGATGTCCGTGCTCATGCAGAAGCTCTAGAACAATTTTTGCTCCACTGCAATGTTCCAAAAGACGACCACACCACCAGAACTATCCTCAACCGTGCCGGCGTCAAATCTTGGACCGACCTCATTCCCAGTGTCCAATTCACCAAGAGTTCTCTCACTGCGCGAGGCATGCACCCTAGTATGGCCTCCTATCTACTCACTGAAGCGATGGATCGTGCCAATGATCTCAAGATCGACATTGACGAGCTCAAAGATGATGACAAAGTTCTTCACGATCTAGTTCAGGCCTCCAGCCCTGCCTCATCTCTCCAACAAGTGGGTCCTTCCCCAGAATATTGACTTCCAGACATGACTCCGACGTTATGTTCCACCTATCAGAATTGTTACTATCCCCCTCGCGCAAAGATTGCTCTTGCCTTGCAGATCTATCAAAAGATCCCTCCTTATTTCCCAAAATCATTGTTTTGACTTGGCACTCAAATGTTTCCCACTTGTTTGTGACTCGTGCTTCTTGTGATTCCAATATTTCCTCCTGTTTTTTTTATGGCGACGCAAATACCGCCTTGGATTGTTCCGTCTCGTGACCTTGCTTGTGACTTGTGCTTCTCGTGAATGAAAGGTTTCCACCTTATATGTGACTCGTGCTTCAACTGTTTTCAATTTTTTCCTCCTTATTTGTTTGGTGACGCAATTTCAGCCTCTGATTCTTCTGTCTTGTGATGACATTTGAGCCACCTCCTGAAACCTGAGAAGTAAGACCCAGTGATCATCCAACTGGTCCAAATCCAAAGTTTTTTTAACTTTTAAGTACTCATCACAAGTCTTGATGAGCAGTTTTTAATGTTTTGATTAGATCAAAAGTTTAATCTTTAATGAAATATAATTAATATATCATTAATGTTTTTTTTCAATTGAATTGATCTCAAGGGGTTCATCACTAAGAAATTTGGTCTCTATCAAATTTTGTTATAGAGACAATTTTATGCCAAATCATTTTTGAAAGGTTAGCTATATGTGCCTTTTCTTTCATGACTCGCCTTTACGTTTTTGCTCACTCAAACATAAATCAAAAATAATAACCACACTGATAATATTCATTTCAAAGACAATCCCCTAAAAAAATAAGATTTTAATTTGTAATAACCGAAAAACTGTAACAAATATACTCTGAGATGTAACTAAAGGGTGAATTTTTTTTGTATTTGCATCTACACATCGGATTTTATTGCTTGATTTATTATCTTCTTTACAAGTAAAGAAATATACGGCAATTGAAATAATTCAGACTCTTCCAAAACAAACTTCAAATAACTTGCAAATTGAGATTATAAATAACCACTCCCTCTATAGAAACCTTAACAAACCTCTTCAGTAAACAACTCCATACAAGCCATAAAAATACTTGCTCTTTCATCATCCGCATCCAAAGCGTGCTGCAAGGCTTGAGATTGCCTGAGTCTGGACTTTAATACAGAGAAGCCCTTTTCGATAGGGTTGAAGTCTGGACTGTAGGCCGGTAGATACACTAACCTAACCCCTCGCGCAGCACACAGCTCCTCAACTCGGCCCCCGTGGTGGATAGGAGCGTTATCCATCACAAGGACGCTGTTTTGAGCTGGAAAAGGGTTCATGGCTGGAAGATGAACCAGACCAGACAAAGAAGTTGTTATGATGTGGTGTAATTGTCACTGAGTGTGTAATGTTTGTATGACATCATAGCTTGTATGCTAATACATTTCTCTATCTAAAATAGTCTTATATCTTATTAGCATAGATACTTTATCTATTGTAGAATTGTTGTTAGATTGGATTGGTTCTTCCTCACCTTTCCTATATGTTCTAACATCTCTCTTCTAGGTAAGTTATTCTATTATTGCAATATCTACCTTTCCTATATGTTCTAACATCTCTCTTCTAGTGAGAATCAATCTTATCAGGTTATGAGCCCACCTCAGTGACTCTATAAGATTGCACTCTCGGAAAACCGTTTCAATAACTATCAACAAACTTTAACAAGTATAGTTCGAAACTGTCTAGAAGACTGTAAAGGAAAAGTCCGTCTGATACAGACAAAAAACTAAATCGATTGTCAGAAATAAACTCCAAAACCCTAAAAACCTCTAGTTTACCACTCTCTGTTTTGATCTTCGATAATCTTCATCATCATGTCTGCACCAACTTTCACATCTGGTGAGAAGGGCAAGTCGCCCGATTCTTCGTTAGCACCGTCATCTGCCTCTAGACCAGCTGGTCGTCAAACCGAATCTTCGATTCGAACTGAAAGCAAAGTATTGCCATCTCTGCAATATTCGAATGAGCGTTTAGAGGCAACTGGAGTTAAGCCATTAGAAGCTCCTGGCCCAGAATCAAACTACCATCAATGGCAGTTTGTAATGGGGACGATAATCAGAGGATCAAGTTTTGGTTATGTACTTCGGGAAAATCAACCATCCCCTCTTCCTGCATCTGAAGAACATGATCGATGCAAAGTATCTGCATTGATACTTCGATATGTTCATCCTTCGAATTACGAATTCTTGTCATCATACGAAGACGATCCGAGAAGCCAGTGGAAAGCTCTGCGTGAAGCGCATCAAGATGCTTTGTCAGGATCCATTATGTATTGGCTTAAGAAATTAGTCACTGCGAAAATGGGTGATCTGAGTATAACGGAACATCTAGAATCAATGTCGGCGGATTATCAAAAATTCAAATCGTTGGTTACTCCCGATAAGCCACTCACTGCCGATACTGTCTTCGCCACGGCAGTAAGTCTGTCATTGACTGCTGACTGGCAACCAGTTTTAGCTCCATTACTTCAACGTGAATCAGTCACATCAACTACTATCTTGAAAGTGCTTCGAGAAGAGGCGACGAGAAGATCGATTTCCTCTGAGGAAATAGAAGTCATAGCAGCTGCTAAGGATGGAAAGTCGAAAGATGTATCATGCTCTCATTGTTCGAAGTCTGGTCATGTAATGGAAGATTGCCGAATTTTAAAATCGAAGCTGGAAAAGTACAAGGTTTTAAAGGCGGAAAAAGCTGAACAAGATATTCCAAAGTCTAAACCGACCAAGAATCAAGTGAGAAGATCGAAGGCAGCAAAAGCAAAAGCAGCTGCTATTGCTGAGCTCTCCTCTGCTTCAGAAGCTTCGATCAATATCAACTCTGAAATTTCTTCTGCCGCTGTAATCAAAGCGTCGTCGGGAAAAACCACTGGATGGCTAATCGACTCGGGAACGTCTCAAGTGATGACTCCATGCTCAGATGTAGTTACCAGAAAGAAAACTGACAATACGAATATCAGTCTAGCAAATGGTTCGATTGTCAAATCAATTTCAAAAGGATTTGTATCGCTACCGTTTTCTGATTTTGAAGATATCAAATCACTCTATGTTCCTTCTCTGTCCGAACCTCTTCTATCTGTCTCTAAACTTGCCGATAAGAAAATCACTACCGTATTCAATTCATCGACTGTTTCGTTTGTTAAAAACTGTAAAATCACCGGTGACGTAGTTGGAACTGGATATCGACATGGCAATCTATATTATCTCAATCAAGAGGTATGTCATTCGAAACCTAGTGATCAAACGTCGAAAGCAATGGTCTCTGACGTACATTTATGGCACTCAAGATTTAACCATCCTGGTTATGCAGCTTTAAAACGAAAACTCAATTCATTAAACATTAAGGTGGATGAAGCTGAACTACGTAAGTTGCAAACTTGTAGCATATGTGTTCAGGGAAAAGTGAGACGACGTAACATGTCAAGTCGAGCAGGGTGGAGATCAATCAAACTGTAAGGTGTCACACTTACAAACACACATGTCACATACTATACAGTACAGTAGATACAATTAGAGTCTAGACTACCCTTGTTTCCTTTCCTCTTCTCTTTTTCTCTTTATCGGTTTCTTCAGCTTCTTCAGTTTCTATTCATGTTATCAGGGTTGTTGTGATCTGATGTTCTTTATGAACTAGGTATGGGTTTCCTTTCCTCTTCTCTTTTTCTCTTTATCGGTTTCTTCAGCTTCTTCAGTTTCTATTCATGTTATCAGGGTTGTTGTGATCTGATGTTCTTTATGAACTAGGCCTAGTTTTCAAAATTCACTTTGGTTCTAGATAACTTTCGTGCCTGCTCGTGCCCAATCAGTGTTGTTCCTCCATAGGAACTTCCACTTTTTTTATCTATTACCAAATCGATACCAATACGAATCCAGATTTTTTTTCGAATCAACTGAAACTACTGCGCCAGCGAATTGAATTACCCCGCATCCCCGATATAGAATTGAATTGACTGAACTATCTTGAATACTGAACTGAACTGAAACCGATCTGCTGGTGACCGATCACCTGGGACACTAGTCTATGCCAAACACCCGCCAGAATAGGACCCTGGAAAGCCCCTATATACCCGCCTAATTGGGTATGTAGGAATTGGCCTTTTTGGGTAAAAATGGTCCTTATGTTCTGTGTAGGAATTCTAAAAATTTGAAAAAAAAAGTCACACAGGAGCCTTATTTTGTATGTAGGAATATGTCAAAAAGTGTGGAAAAAAAAATTAGGTTTCTTACACATTAGGTAGGAAAGAGGGTTCTCAGGGCCACCAGGCTACCCACTTCAATACATAAGGTGAGTAGCAATGATCATCGAGTCACAATGAAACCTGATGTTATTGTGTATACATACCAATCATGATAGTATTGAGTTCGAAGCTCAGGTAAGACAATTTTTTGCACATTTTTATGTAAAAGGGTGTGGAAAAATGTCATATTATGACAGTTGATGGTCATTGAAATCGAGATGTCTGACAGTCTGGCATGGGTCAGCAAGAAGGTTGTTTCAACCAGTTTCAACCGAGTCCAAACATTTGAAATGGCCTGAAAGTTGCTGAAACAGCTTGATTCTGCTCGATCACAACATTTTTTTTGTTTGATCTTGATAGTTTTCGTTGATATTAGACACAATTACTATATCTCGTGTAGCAAAAGGAAAAGGTAATGAACGAAAGAAAAAAAACAACCACCAGGATCCTGTGGCTTCTGATCACGCCAATGCAAATGGAGCCACCAAATTGGACCCTCGGACATGTAGTAAATTGGTAGCCATCATGCTGAAAAACTCTGAGCAGATGGACAAGGCTCTGGATCGCTTACATCGATGGAACATTCATGTAAAG